AGCCTGCCTCTCTGCCTGCTTGTGATCTCTCTGTCAAATAAATAAATAAAAATCTTTAAAAAAAAAAAAAAAGAATCTGAGGCTTTTACACTAAAAAAGACTAGATTTTGGTTAGATCATTCAGCCTACTAGACTCAAATTATCATTTAAAATTCTATTCTGGCTCTGTCATTTACTAGGTGAACAATCTTGAGTAAGTTACTTCTCCATGCCTCAGCTGCCACATCAGTAAAATGGGGTAATAATACCATTTATCTCATAGATTTTTGTAAGATTTAAATGAGTTACCTTTGTAAAAGTGATTACTACTCTCAGCACACTGTAAAAACTGGAATGTTAGCTATTCTTTGAAACAACACAGCAATGCACTGAAAAGTATAAAAACGTTCCATTTTTTTCTTACCATCCACTTTTTGAACCACACAGCCTTGGTATCAACCAATGCAAAAAAGTAAATTGGATCCAAAATCTTTTGTGTTACAAGATGGCTCTGATCATGTTTAACTGATAATAAGGACAAAGTATTTTCCACAATTTCTTCCATATACCTTGAAGTTTGGGAATGAGACAGTTTTAGAAAAAAACAAATGCTATGACACATATACACATAGTACCAGTGATATATTTTATATTTATGGAATAACAAAGTGAAAATTTTTAGAAACAACTTTTTTTTTTGTTTCAGCAAATGGTAGATGTGGGATTCACACCCAATTTCCTCCTGCTTTTTATAAAACATATGTTCTTTCTACTTCAACATTGGCTCTCCAAACATAACTTTCCTCTTTAGATAAATAGTTGCTCTTACAACCTTATTAAAAAATTTTAGAACTGAATGGAAAAAGTTTAAAAAACACTTAAGGAACGTGTCCAAAGTAGCAAAGACCAATAGTAAAAGAACTGGAGGTAACAACAACCTCATTTTACTTTCTTGTGATAAATAAATGGTATAAAATGATATTTGCACAGAGCCATTCATGTAGGAAAGCACAAAACTTGAAAAGCTAAGTAAACTTATGAATCCCTTCCCAAAAACGTAAGTCAATTAAGACTGTCTCTATTCTTTCTCCTTGTAATGTACGAAGGATAGTAACACCCCTATATTTTATATTGGCATAAATTGGAGGACTTACTTTTCTGGGTGACGAATCCAGAAAGATGGAGCCTCTTTCTGATATTCATTTAGAAGACGAACCTGAAAAGCAGTGCATAACATTTCTCAAAAATTAGAATTCTTAAATATAGAACTACTTAAATTTTTTAAAAAGCATATAGCAAGTGAATACCTTTTTAAGTAAGCAGATCACATTAGGATTACTTGTATCTATACCAGTTGAGAGAGTAGGAATATGATTTTCTCTAGAAAGAAAGTATAACTTCAAATATTTAGCTGAAAAGAAAAATTTAAAACTATGATTATCATTCATTTATAGTGTTATCTGAAAAGTTGTTTCCTATCCATTTTCTTAAGCACAAAAAAATTTAATAAACATACCTAGGCTTGTATAAATCTCCTTGGTCATATGTAATGGTGAAAGAGTAAATGTCTGTGCATAGAATTTTAAAATCCGGTCCTGTAGAAGTGAAAAGATTTGCATCAGAGATTCTTACACAAATAGAATAGAGATGAAAAAAACATTTTTCACATAGTGAAAAACTTAGAAAATAAACAAAATAACTATTCAGAAACTTGAGTAGAAATGTACTTATAAATAAGAGCACAATTATGTTGGCCAGTAAAAAGTAAAATTGACCAAAACTACATAGGGGGAGAGAGAGAGTCAGGTTTAAGAGCTAGAGTAAGGTATAATGAGAAGGTATCAAGGGAAAAGTAGGTGTACTAAATGGTTAAAAAAGCAAACAAACAAAAAAATACTCCACTGCTTTCCAAATTCAACATTTGTTGTTTTTTTAAATTGTTTACATGGGTAGTTTCAGTAATTTGACACTTAAGATTCTACTATTTTGCCTAGTCCCAAGAAAAGTTTTATTTAACACATTTTCCAAATTTACATTATTAAAACCCAAAGTAGAAAAAAAAAAAAAAAAAACCTAAAGTAGAAACTATCACAACATAAATGAATTAAATGTTCACAGATGTAGCTAGAAAAGTACTTGGCACTAGTCCGTACTTAGAAATGATAGCTATAACTATCATTTTAATTTTACCAACTTTAATACTGTGATGAAATTAATCCTAATTGTGAAATTCAATATCCCGTTAAAGAAATATATAAGATCTCCTCAAGTGCTCTACTCTGGGATAGGGGATGGGGGGAAACTTTGCCTATATCAAATGTTAGCAAAATTAGAAAAAAATGGTTACACAAATGATCAAAAATTTCTAGTAACCCAAAGGAATTCCTACTGAATAGAGGATATTAAATATTTTAGAAAGCTTATTTTTATAGTTGCAGCAATTGATAAGTATCTGTCACACTCTTCAAACATGACAGGCTTCATTCAGTTACAAGCAAGAGTCCTCTAAAAGAGGAAATGAAAAAACAGAATCAACTCAAGAATTTGGATCAAGCATAAATTCAAAATCAAAAGAATGCCATGCCTTGTTTTTCTACTCCAATATGATGGGTTCTTGTTACCATTTCCCCTCCATAACAACTTTTTCCAATTTTATTCAACACTGGTAACACTTTTGCTGAATAATCTATAATGGCTAAACAAAGCCACTTATATTGACCCATTAGGATATTCACTGTTTATAAAGTTGTTACATAATTTTTTAAATAATAAAAGGAAACCTATCTGACCACTATTCTTTGTTAAAAAAAAAAAAAAATACAGAGAAATTTACAACTGTATTTCCTTGAAATGTAAAAAGTGACCCTGAAATATCTTTTTCCTTTTTCAGGTTCTTGGATCATTGAGTTTTTACAGAAGTCTGCATCATCACCTGGTGACAGTAAAGTTGAACTGTGTCCAGGCATTAGGTAATTGAACACATTTCCCCCCCCTTACAAAAACAACAAACCACTTGTTTCTAAACCACTTCTGTTTACCAGTATAATTTTATCTTCATTGATGGAAGAACATGATTTTCAACAGATAAATGTATTGAGATTCTTTTTTCTTTAATAATTGCTTATTGTCTGTCTCCTCTACTAGAATATAAGTTCGGCAAAGACTTCTGTCTTGCTCAGGGTGTTTTCAGCATCTAAACTAGAATGCTGCACATTGTTGGTAATCAACACATATTTGCTGAAGAGCTAATAAAATTTAACTCTTGTGCTAACATCTTAAATTCTGTAGAAAACACCATAACAATTTTAAAGCCAACTTTTTCTTTCCTGACACATCAGTTAAGAAAAAGACCCTCTAAACCTAAATTTGCATTTGAATGTGAATATGGGATATGGTAGGATTTTTTTTTTAATTTATATCACTGATATAACCAATACAACAACTATACTTTTTAATATTGTTTTACTCCCATAATAGTATTCCTGAGAAGGTAAAGGAGAATCATTTTTTATATTCAATAATTTCTCTACTGACTTCATAATCTTTAGAATTTTCTATATTTATGATTCCTCTCAATTATCGTCTAAACTTTGCTTTAGTTTTCTCCCCTTTTTTTAAGCAATTAAGCAATCTCTAAATAAACATTTAAATGCATAAGGAAAATACTTATGATTCAGTTAGAATAAATTCTAACCATTTTAAGTTCAAAGTTTCATATGTCATGAATTCTTTCAAAAATGCTTTAAGTAGTCTCTTAAAGTACATTTCTTAACTCAAAACAAAACACGAATATTTGGATATCCCTTTACAAGATAAAACAATGCGCAAGGTAACAGTCTACTATTATTTGGCAGTGAAGTGCGATATTGATCATACTGGGAATCTAATCATGAAATAGTAAGTTAATGTCTTTAAAGAAAATCTTTACAACTCAAAAGCTGGAATTGAAATTCCATAAATAGTAGAGCCACTATTAAAGAAAGTAATTCCAGCTGCTTATAGAATGATGGGAAAACAATTTTTTTTTTTAAATATTTCTATCAGCATCTCCTTACACTAAACACAGGATCAGGATCTGAAAGACACACTGTCAGTTTTTCACAAAGAGTCGTCCAATTTTCACAGTTCAAAACATCAGATGGTGGAGCTGAACATAATGTTTGCAAGGCTTCATATCTCACCTATAATTTAAAAGATTTTTATTAATACCCAGCCACTAGGATACCACCAATACTTCAAATATTAAACATTGAAAAGCAGTCTAGACAATTGTCTCAAAGAGCCAAATGATGAAAATCAGAGGTCTTTTTATAAAACAATTTTTGAGAACTCATTTCTTTTAAACTAAGTGTTAAACTGGAAAAAATAGGTTGTCACTTTACATAAAGCAAAAATTATAAACTAACTTTTGGAGATTCTAGGTCATATATCTAAGTGAAAGAGGAAGAAGGACAGTGGCCAAATCTGAATCACCAGGGCAAGGTTCTCCTACTTAACTAGGCACCCCTAGGTGGTCCTATAGTTTGAGGCCCTTAATTTTAAAATTAGCATAATATGCCCCTGGTGAAGCATTCCCATTCCAGAATATAGGAACAATTTTCACAAAATAATTAATTTGGACTAGTTTTCGATGCTATACCATGTTTTCTGACCTTCTAGCCACTGAGGTAGGAAAAGTCAACAGTGTGATATAAAACTGAATGTCTATATTTTCAGGGAAAACTTACTTCTTAATCATTCTTTGCAAAATCAAATCAGAATTCACCCAAAACAATATCACCCAAAGGAAAGCAGTAAAAAATAGCTCTACTCCAGTCATGAATGGAGCAAGACTTCTCCCCCACCACTCTCCAACCAGTGAGTAATAACACACTGATTCCAGGGGTGCCTGGGTGGCTCAGTGGGTTAAGCCTCTGTCTTTGGCTCAGGTCATGGTCTCAGGGTCCTGGGATCGAACCCCGCATCGGGCTCTCTGCTCAGCAGGGAGCCTGCTTCCCTTCCTCTCTCTCTCTCTCTGCCTGCCTCTCTGCCTACTTGTGATCTCTGTCTGTCAAATAAATAAATAAAATCTTTAAAAATAAATAAATAAATAACACACTGATTCCAACCTGTTTCTCAAAATGTGGTTGTTTCCCCAGCTAAAATAACTAAAACCTAGTGGTTTAAAAAGGGCAAGAAGTTGGGGTGCAGGAGAATCTAAGACCTTATAAAACCAGACCCTCTAAATCAGGGTATCAAGTTTTAGGTGAAAAAGAATACACATGCACTTAAAAGTGTCTATATATTCATATGAAAGAAAAACTCTTAAACACGACTGTATTTGTGATAGGACTGGGGGACTTTGGGGGAATTTTAGAAACATTAAGTATTTTCTCCCTTTCAGTTAATTTTTAGGACAAAATCCCATTAAGAATTTACTACTTGCAGAAGTACTATAAAAGTTTCCAAATAAGTATAGATTTCCAAGTAATCCACTTAAACTGAAGACAATAAGACTCTTATCACATAGGGCGCCTAGATGGCTCAGTGGGTTCAGCATCTGCCTTTGGCTCAGTTCATGATCCCAAGGTTCTGGAATTGAGTCCTACATCAGGCTCCCTGCTTGGCAGGGAGTCCACTTCTCTCTCTACCCCTCCCTGCAGTTTGTGTCTCACTCTCTCTTATGATCTTTTTCATGCTCTCCCTCTCTCTCAAATAAATAAATAAAATGTTTAAAAAAGAGAGAGATTGTTATCATATAAAATCAAGTTCCATTTCTTTTTTTTTTAATTATTATTTATTTATTTGACAGAGATCACAAGTAGGCAGAGAGAGAGAGAGGAGGAGGAAACAGGCTCCCCACTGAGCAGAGAGCCCGATGCGGGGCTCGATCCCAGGACCCTGGGATCATGACCTGAGGTGAGGGCAGAGGCTTTAACCCAGTGAGCCACCCAGGCGCCCCTCAAGTTCCATTTCTAATACCTTTTGAAACATTTACTAAGAACCTAGAAAATAGGGGCGCCTGGGTGGCTCAGTGGGTTAAAGCCTCTGCCTTTGGCTCAGGTCATGATCTCAGGGTCCTGGGATCGAGCCCCTAATCGGGCTCTCTGCTCAGCAGGGAGCCTGCTTCCTCTTCTCTCTGCCAGCCTCTCTGCCTACTTGTGATCTCTGTCAAATAAATAAATAAAATCTTAAAAAAAAAAAGAACCTAGAAAATAAATCAGAATGTGAAATGCTAAAAATTATTGTGATTAAAAAAAAAATCAGTGGGAGTAAATCATAACTATTCATTTAGTTTAATATGAAAAGTTGTGGCTTGCCTGGGTGCCCAGTTAAGCATCTGCCTTCGGCTCTGGTCATGATCCCCAAGTTGGGCTCCCTGCTCAGTGGAGATCCTGCTTCTGCCTCTCCCTCTGCCCCTCCCCCCGGCTCGTGCTTGCACACGCTCTATCTCAAATAAATAAATCTTTAAAAAATAAAATAAAATGAAAACTTGAAAAACATTTCAAAAACTGAAACCAACTGGCAAGATATGCAAATCTTATTTTCTATTTAGACTGACTTAATGAAACAAGACTTTATAAACAGTAATTTATGAAATCTTAAAATATAAACAGGTACAATTCAATAGAACTGCTTCTTTAAAATCCTTTTTCTAATAAATGAAAGTGTCGAAGTTGCTCACATTTTCCAGAAGTAGAAAGAACATTAAATGAAGATCATTTTTCTTTAAGGAAATCACTAAAATATCACATACAAAGCAACAATGAAAGAACAGTTTGGAAGACAACTGCTTATTACTTTATCCCTTCAAAACTGAAACTAGACATAAAAATTTCTTCCTATAAACCATGACAATTCTCTGGCAGCCTCCCCTACTCTGTGACCTTTCATTTCAAGACTGGAAAGTCTAGCAGGGACATTAGTCTAGGAGCACCATGATAATAAAGGCCTATTTGCAAGAGAAGCGTTCAGCTGCTTACTAATCACAATCTAATATATTATAAATATATATAAATATCTGACTGAACTTGACAGCTATCCTTTAAACTTACCTCTTTAGGTTGCCCTGGATCCAACTGGTCTAAAATCAATTGCAATTTTCCTTGACAAAATTTGTAACTCTGTAACAATTGACAGAACATTCATTTAGTAGACTTTTTACAAATACTGCTATAAACTATTTTTAATATAATTCCAAGCTCAAAATGCATTCTGAGCAAGAAAAGAGAGTGATCTATTCTCATCTGGCAGAAAACTGAGAATTTGTTTTCCAAGGTATTTAAATGGGAACTGAAGTCTCAGGAGAACAGTGTACCTCATGTACATGAAAATTATTATTTGTTGAGCAACTGTAAAATGTAGTACATTATAAGATTCAAAAGATATAAGGCCAAGATATTTTGTACACAGAGATAGGAGATGAATGTAACAGAAAGATAAAACAAGAAGGCATTAATGGTATCCTAGGCACAACTATGATGCTGCTTGAACATTTCTGTCTCTTTATCTTTCCTGTATTTTCCTTAGCCCTCCATGCCTCCTCTTTGGTGAAAAATTCCCAATATAAAAGCCTCTATCTAGAGAAAAGTTTAATAGTAGACCATAAGTTATTTTGGAAAAGGAAAGGGTCTTTTTCTTGCTGAAGGCAGTTTAAATATGACTAATACCTAAAATAACCATCTAAAAATTAAACTGCCATTAAAATAATAGTTGTCATGTATTACTTTTTATGCAACAAGCCCTATATGATCCCAATTCACAATGACTGAAATATGAGAAATACGAAAACTAAGGTTAAATAACTTCTCTAAGTCACCCAGCTATCATAACTCAGATTCCCATCCATATTTTTACTATCTATACTCTTCCCTCAGCTGTTCTCATCCAGTTCTTTAGGTAAATCATGATGACTCAAACTTCCATCAGTCACTTCATCTTCAAAGTTATATGTAATTATCCTTTCAACATTTCCATTTGGATGTCTAATAGGCATCTCAAACTTAACATGCCCAAGACAGAACACTTGATTTTATTCCAAACCTGTTCCTCCCTCAAACTTCTCCACCCTCCTAAATGACACTACCACCCATCCAGATTTTTTACTGAGATTAAAAATAAGTGCCAATTCTGGCTCTTCACTTTCTCTTACCTTCTATACCTAATATTATTAAGTCCCATTTAGACAATCCCCAAATTCCACACATCTTCACTCCAACTACCCCATACCTCCTTGCTAAAACCTTAAACCAAGGCACCATCAACTCTAGCCTAGAGTCCTTCAATTCATACTAACTGGTCTCCTTGCTTCTACTCTTAAATCCTATCCTACTCCACCCTACCACCCATTTATTGTCCAGCAACAGTCAGATGGAGCTTCTCAAACTTACAAATCCAATCTCTTCATCTCCCTTACTTCAATCACAGAAAGAGACTTCCCACATTACTCAGAATTAGATTTACTTACATGATCTATCTGGGTGCCTGCTTCTCTAACACATTCTCCTACAATTCTTGCCTCTGCCATCCAGACTTCTGCCACACTGGACTTTTTTCCCCATCCCTGGATGATACTATGCTCATACTAGCCTAAGAACCTTTGCCATCGCCATTCCTCCTGCCTGGCAATGCTCTTCCTCCAGAGTTTTGCATAGCTGCCCTACTATTGCTTAGAATTTGGTCTTTTTCACTATAGTATCCCAATACCTGAATTAGTGCCTCATACAGAGTACTCACTCAATATACATTAGTTTAATACATAAACGATTACAAAGTGAGTCTTTCCACAATGTTACATTGTCCCTAGCAACACAGGGTACATATAACCACTCTATAAAGAAACCAAAACAGCCTGATATTCTATTTCTTAAAGAACCTTAAGTTTTATTGAGTTTTACTCCTTTCTAAAAGTATATAGTTGAACTGCTAACAACTCTATACATGTTACTTTTCACAATTAAAAGTACTATATATTAAATAGACCTTTAATTTTGAATTTTTATATTACAGTTAAAATACAAAAATTTATGAATGATAATAATAAATATAAGTAATATGAATGTAGCAGTCTTGCCAAAGGGAAAAAAAAAACCATAATACAGAATATCTTAAATAGTATATATAAGCATATGTACTTATATGCATTTGTGATACATACATAATGCATATATTTACATATTGAAGTATATATACACATGCATATGTATATTGAAATACACGTAAAATATATATTTATATACTTAGTTATTCTGTACTATTGCTAGACAACTTTTTCTCCCCCTTTAGCCGGCCCTTTGCCCCTCTTGTAAACTTGATTTCTTCTGATCCTTACACTTCCATCATGACTTTTACAAGATCATTATCTAGGTCTGAAATGTCTTGCTATCCAACTTACTAAAAAATAAGTATGATGTCAAGGACATGAATTTTAGTCAGATAGATGAAGTTTCAAAACCCGGCTCAATCTTCAACTAGTTACATGACCCTGAAGTCTCGAACCCCATCCTCAGTTTTCACATCAGGAAAACTGTGAAGTTTTTTGCTTCATTGTTATAAAATTTTCAACTTTGAAGTAAATTTCCTGTTTCTCAGGAAATTCTCTATGAGAAAATATAAAATAACTGACTCTACCTACCATCTACCTATTCAAGATCAAGCAATCTAAAGATATAATTCATTGATTTCCATAGATTCCCATTCTAATCCAGCCTCTCCCCCAATATAGAGGCATGTTCTATAACAGCCCTGATAAATGGGGAGCCAGACATTGTTCGAACATTCTCAACTATAGTCAGTTCATACTGGTGAAGCAACCAATATTATATCAAAGAAGCAGTCAAAAAATGTAATACATAAATCTTAAAATTCATTTACTTAAACATTCCCCTTGACAAAAGCTTTGTTTTCTAATCTTATGTGCAGTACTTTCAGCAAGCAACCTTTACTCTCTGAAAACGGTTTTGCCTTTCATTTCACAAAAATGATCAAGGCTAATCAACATGATGATCCTTCAACTTTACCTCCTCTTCCCCCCAGTATTATTCTGTGGTGAACTCCTAACGAGATTCAAATAGCTTTTCTTAGTACTCAGCATTGACGTTCTCTCTAGCCTTCATTACAGCTTGTTAACCTTGAAATTAACTGGCTTTCACCTTGAAATTCACTGCCCCTTAAGTTCTTACCCAGTAAACTGTGGTTTAGTCTCTCTTGGCCCTCTGAAAATGTGTTTCCTAAGGTCTCACCTATTTAGGTAGACCCAACCTTTCTACGAAGTGAATCCTGCATTTTCAACCACTTGCTATACCACTGGACTACCTTACTGGTATTTGACATTTAAAATCTTGGGGGAAAAAAAAAAGAACTCACTATATTCTTCTCCACATGTAACCTTCCTCCCTAATCCCAGGCATGGTTTATGACACCAAGGTCTTCCCACCACCTCAGCCTGAAACCACAGCTAGACTTTTGACTCTTTTCCCCACTCTGTACTACTCCCCCGACAAACACTTCAATAATGACTTTGACTCTCTTCCCATTCTGCACTACTCTCCCCAAAACACTGCAATAATCAAGTTTAATGATCATGCCTCTGTAATAATTCTCACATCAGTCCCTATTTATTTCTACAAAGCCTCCTCAGTTCAGGCCTTCTTCTTACTTCAACTATCATGATAGCCTTCTAACTTCTTTCCCTATATCTTCTTTCTCACCTGCTCATGCCTTTCTACACACAATTATCAGGTAAATCTCACCAACACGCTTTTCTGTTCAGCAATCTAAAATGATTTCCCTTTACTTACAAAACAATCCAATTTAGCTTTTGAATGCATTCATTTATTCCTTATATATTTATTAGACATCTACTATGTTTCGGACACCAATTACATAACATACCAGGCACTAGAATTTTATAGCTAGGAAAAATAATTAAGATCTAAACCTTGCTCCATAATTTGGCCCTCATCTACCCTTCCAGTTTACTCCCCACAAACTCTTTGTTCTAACCCTTCACATAAACAAACTACTCAGGTTCCCCAATAGGCCACATTCTTTGTTGATTTAGAGCTTTTGTCCATTCCCTTGTTTGAAATACTTTCCTCCATAGTTCTTTGATAGTCTTAGTTACAAAGACCCTTTAGACTTTCCAGGATGCACTATTTCTACCTTACGACTCTGTTATTTATGTAAATAATCTCCTCATAATCCCAGGTAAGCTCCTTGAAGAAATAACATATACCTGATTCATCTTTTCAGTTTGGCAGTGCCTATCACAAAATACTGCACATAGTATATGTTGGGGAACAGACAACCATAGAGTTGAAATCCTCCAATTCTACCATATCTGCCTTTTCTCCCAGATTAAAATACATATTAGAAAAGCATAGTCTGGGGATATCCAAATCTTGGTTTCAGCTCAAGTCATGCTCTGAGGGTCGGGAGATGGAGCCCCACGTTGAGTTCTGTGTTCTGCATGGAGTCTGCTTGAAATTCTCTCTCCCTCTTCCTCTGCCCCTCCCACTCGTGACTGTACATGTACGCTCTCTCTAAAATAAATAGATAAATCTTAAAAAAAAAAAAAAGCATAGCCTCTAATAGTTATCTGATTGGAGCAGCTTCATTAATCTATCTACTTCCCTTTAATTAGTTATCATTTAATTATTAATTTTTTATCTCCTTAAATATAGTATATACTATACTTTAAAAATGGTATTTAAGCAATGAAAATTTTTTGTTACACTAGACATCAGAATGAACCTACTACCTGCCTTAAAGGTTACCTATTTTTAAGGCATGTGTGTTACTGTGTATTAGTGGACTGACATAAAATCCCATAGCAACCAACTAATAAATTCTTTAACTAGAGCAAGTAGACAGCGTGTCCCTTGTAATACAAATTTGTTAAGATTTTTCAACAGTTTTAGGTATTTCTTAAACTGAAAATTCCTGAGGGAAGTAGTATCTGCCAACCTGATTTGTAAAGCAATGCAAGACAGATCTGTTGGTGACATCGATATAGGTAGATACTTCCAACAGGGAGTTTTTTAAAACATATTTACATATGTAAAAGCATATGCTAACCAAATAATTTCTGAGTACATTCTAAGGAAAAAGAGCAAGAACCAGA